AATAGGACTCATACACAGCATAACGTGAAGGTTTTCTTTGCAGCAGTTAACAAAGAAATTAAAAAGCGCCAGCGGAGAAAATTCCGCATTCTTGTCTTCAGCTTGCGCTTGGGCTGCTGGACGGACGCTCTGAAAATACAATAGCAATACAAGCTGTAAAGCACTCTAACCGTTCACCTTAGCACTTAACTTGTTTAGAAAAAAAATACAGTCAACAGCTTTCCTCTGAGCGACAACAACTAAACGATCAAAATGGACAATTTACTAATAATCTCAAATTAAAACTATACCAAATTTTCAGGAAAAGAACTTTGAACAGTATTTTTGGCCTGAAAACTGGTGCAAGATCTTCAGCGGAATACCATGAATAAATATAGTTGTGGATGTTGTTCAAGGTATTTACGGTAGAAGAAGCATTTGTCTCTCCTGTTACAAAAAACGACTTGAAAAAAAACAAGAAAAGTAAAAACTGCTTTTGATTAATGATCAATAGTCGAGGTTCTGCTGCCGGAGACCACGTTTACCCTAAAAGTAATCCAGTTCAATTTTATACTTGGTATTATTTCTCTTTTCTTGAATTCTGTATTCTAAAAATTGATTCTTATTCAGTGAAAATCTTTAAATCTTTTCCTTAAAGCGATTAAAAGAGTTTAAGTACCTCGTTGAGTTCAGCCTTTTCGTCCACTGCAAATAAATTGGGTACTTCGCCAGTATTCAGTAAGCTATCGACATCTTCTAAGAAGGATTCCTCTTTTATTTGGGTGTCCGTTAACAAAAATACAGTCGGCTTCATTTGGCATCCTGCACTCTTCAATAAGGTCTAGAAAATCACAACACAGGTAGGAATAAGGTTTTTTTCGGTTTATATGTTACAGGTCAAATCTGACTTCAGGTTAATCTTGACGTCACCTATTGTAGGTTGGTTCTCAATTTCCTTTGTCTCTCCTATGGAAATTGAGAATCAACCTAGGTTAAAGATACACGTAGAGTCAAATTTGACCAGTGCCATATACAAAAAATATATATAGATTTAGCCAGGGCTAAAAGCGAAGCTCACTTTAGTAAATTTATAATTTACATCAAACAATAAACTCGTAATCCACAAATCAGTTGACTTTAGGGCACATTCATGTGACTTTTGAGGGGAAGGCTAAGTGACTTCAGAGTAAAATAATTTGACAGTCCAAGAGTCAAACAAATCAGTTTTATACCGAGTTAATAGTCTAAAATGGCAATTATCTTCGATCACAGTAGATTAGCTCTGGATAACATATTATTCCCAAACAAAATAACCCGGTCGCCCACCTACACCACCTTTTATTTTAATTATAATTTTATATTTTTTAGGTTAATTCATACACTCTCCAACCACTCCGTTGAAGAGACTGTGGATAACCGGACAGCCCCGAAATATAATTTTATGCAACACACGATAGTCCTCGGTGGCAGCCAAAAGATTTATACGTTGCATTCCTTTGTCTAAAAGGGAGGCCAAAATAAGAAATCAGGCCGGATTTTTTGTGTTCGACAAGTTTACTTTACAAGTAAATCTTGTCGACAAATCTGGTGGCGTGTTAACCAACCTTTTAAATATACTTTTTATACATCACGTCTGAGGTAAACTACTGTGAGGCGCTGTCTTTTTTAACATACAGACCTCGGACAGAGTTTATTTTTTTGCCGTATTTAAACTTATAATTCTGCAGTTATTAGTTTTCTGATAGTGGTCTGCACATGTCCCATTTTGAGAGCTGTCAATTAACCTTAATTTGGCTTGCGCATATAGCTTTAAACTACTGGCAGCCAACTGGCAAGCCCTGCCCTGTGAAAGCGTGGTTTCATTTTGTTGTTGGTTATTGTGACATTATATCAGCCTATATGTAGGGGCAAACCCACTAGTCTTTCATCTGAGTCCGCGAGATGGCCAGGTTATAATTGTCAGCGGATTTTGACAGTTGTCAATTCATCCTCGTACGGATGGCTTACATAACTGACAGGCTAGTGTCAATAATTGTGCAAGGTGTAATGTGACACTCGACATCGGCTTACATGTAATGGGTGTACAGACGATCGGCGTTCTTACGCTACGTCATAACCAAATTTTCTCGGATGGATAGTTGACCAAATTTTCTTACCCATTGTGCTCCGCTACTACTAAACTGAGTGTCCAAAACGACCGAAGCAAATGTTCCTCTAAAGTATGGCGAAAGTACAGCACAAACTAATACGATGCTATTTAGTAGGTAAACTGACCTTGATGTCTTCGCGCCATTCCGGCAAACCATAACTTTTAGAAATCTCAGGCTGAAAGACATGGAAGTCAGCAATAGCGGCCGCCAACCGAGACAAAGATTGTCTTCCACTGCCTCCAACTCCCACAAGAAGTGCATTGCCTCCTGGCTGCTTCAGGACGCGACTGATCCGCACCAAGTGCTCCAACACGTACCTACATAGAAATAATGAAATATATTATATAGACACGAGTGTTTTACTGGAAAATATACCACTCGTAAAATTCACAAAAACTACACCCGGGAGCCGGGTGGTTAATTTTCTAAAATCTCACACGTAAGTTTATCGATGACGCAATTTCGGTAATTTCCCTCCGAAATTTGTAGGCGTCTTGCAAATGCTGCCAAACATTGCCTGAATGAAAATGGCAAGCAAAAGATTCGTCAAGTTTACTGAACAGGAAATTGCGTCGTTTACCGAGGGCCAAGAAAATACCAATACGAAGAAGAAAACTGTGTCTGATCCAAATTTGGTTAAATGGAATTTATCTAAGTTAACCACCGCGAGCTTAACGGCCAAGCGCTCCACGAGCTTAGCGGTCAAGCGGTTCATAAGCTTAGCGTTTAAGGGGTCCAAAAGTTTAGCGGTCAAGCGGTCTAGAAGCTTAGCGGGCATCCAGCGGTCAATCCCATAAGTGTAGGCTCACATGGTACATGGTAGCTTTGTACGCTGCTAGGATCTGTGAGTTTTTCGTTGAGCGTTTGTGCAGTGGCCTGTGGGGCGCTTCATTTAGCATCTTACTTAGCGTTTTTTGGAGCAGCAGTCCTACAGTGTGTTTTTTCTTGTATCCTTTTTCTTTCAATTTTTCAAGGCGTGCACGTCGTCACGTTCTTTCAGTATGCAAACCACAAACAACAGCTTGTCTTCAATGTCTTGTCCGGTTACCGCGTCTTCGCGTTCTTGTAGCGGTTCTACACCAGCTCCTCCAGTTAACACTCCAGCTTCACCACCAAGGCAACCTGTTTCTCTGTCGGAGAAAAACTCTCTAGCAGAGGCCATTTCAAGAGCTCTCGCGGAATCGCTACCTCTGTTGCTATCTTCCCTTCGAGATTCAAGTGGCGGGAACACAAACATGGCCGCGACGTCCGGTCCTCTCTCCTCGGCTCCGAATTCAACGCAGTCTCCGGCATCCACGAGCTCCGGTACTCCCTGCTCTACCTCCCAGTCTTCAGGTACGCTTGTTGTGCCCTCGTTTATTTCAACTCACAGCTCAGTTGGTGGTCCTTCTGTTGTCTCTACTCTCCCCGCCACGTCCTCTGCAAACTTGGCGGTAGTGGTTGGGGGCTCTTGTGGTGGTGCGACCGGATCTGAGTCCTCCACGTCTGCAAAACTCAACAAAGCATTTGTGATGGGTCCTGGCTATGCTCCAGTCCCGTATAAGCTTGTTTTTAAAATTACAGCAGAGCTTTTTGTAGATCTGGCTGACCTACTTCCAGACAATATTCGAGCTCAAGAAATCGACCCCTAAGCGTTTTTGGAGGGAAAACTGGTGGTATCAGGGTCTAAGAAACGGGTCATCGAAATAGCAGACATCGTCACCTGGACAGATGCCTTCACAACCTTTTCTATGATTTTTTGCCACGCCTTATCCTCTCGCTGGAAAAATTTAAACCAGTACAAGTTACTCATTATTCAGACACCAAGGCCCTTTTCTGACAAATCGTGGCTCCACTACAACATCGTCTTCAGAAAAAAAAGCCGCAGCCTCAGGCTCAACCGACTGGTGTCGCATGCACACAGACCTCACACCAGATCTCCGGCTACCCCTTCAGCTGCTTCAGGCTCCTTAACTTCCTCTGCCTTGTCACTAACAGAGATTCTGGCGTCTTCAGGCAATCCCCGGTCTAGCCAGTATTGCCACTCCTGGAATGATGGGCGCTTTCGCTGGCCCTTTGACCGCTGCCGGTTTCGTCACTCCTGTGAAAAGGGGCCACGGGGACCACCCTCGCATCCACTGCCCTCACCGCATCGTACGGAGAGAATGGTCCCGCTCCCCTTCTCAGTCAAAGGGGTGTCACCGCCGTCGCTAGGCCACCTCTAGCCAATTCAGCTGCACATAGTTTTGATTCTGTTCTCGTTGGTTCTCATGGTAACTTTTCAGCGTTACAGTTTCGTTCTCCTTTTGTTTTACCTTCTCAGCAGCAGGGTCTGTCAAGTTCTGGTTATTCGTTGTGCTCTCCAGCCGTTTGTCCTTTAAGACCGGTTTCTCAGCTTACCCCATTAACGTGGATAGATTCCAGCATGAACTCCGTCATCATCCTAACCCAGACAAAGCTGCATACGTGGTCTAAGGCCTTCGCGATGTTTTTCACCTAGACTTCAATGTCACAAACGGGGAATACGGCTTCGGCACTCCTCAACCCTCAGGTCATCGTAAATAACTTGCAATCGGAAGTTCAGACAGGCAGGGTAGTGGGCCCCATCCTCCCCTCCTCGTCCTCCATGTGAGCCGTTTCGGCGTCATCCCCAAACGCCACCAATCTGGGAAATGCATCTTATCCTGGACCTGTCTAGCCCTGCTGGCCATAGTGTCAACGACGGGATTGCAGGCGAGGATTATTCTCTACAGTACATGAAAGTAGATGACATTGTTGCTGGCATAATACAGCGGGAAATTTGATATGCAAAATACATACAGTATTGTGCCACTCCACACAGAAGTTCGTCAGTTGCTGCGTATGAAATGGCGTGGTGCATTTTATGTCGATATGGTCCTGCCTTTCGGTGTCAGGTCAGCTCCATATATCTTCACATGTATAGCAGATTTAGTGGAGTGGATGGCCAAGCGAAACAACGATGTCACCTTCCTGATGCATTACCTTGATGACTTCCACACTCTTGGCTCTCCCGGCTCCTCTGTCTGTCCTGTCCACAATCTGGACAGGTTTATTGACTGTTTTTCTAAGCTTGGCATCCCCCTCCATCTAGACAAACAAGAAGGGCCGTCGACATGCCTAACCATCCCGGGCGCGCTTTCCTCAGGGCAAATTTGATAGGATAACTGACTCGATGGAGGATTGGTCACAGAAGCGTTGGTTCAAGGAACTGGAGTCTCTAATAGGTCACCTTCAGCATGCCTGCAAGGTCGTACTCCAAGTTCGCTCTTTCTTGCGCCGAATGATCAACCTGCTATGTGCTTTTCGTTGGATGACCACCCGATTCGTCTCAATCAGGAGTTCTTTCTTGACCTAGCCTGGGGGCAAGAGTTTTTCCAGTCTTGGAAGGGTTGCTGCTTCCTTCAGTACTCCCAGTGGGATCCACTCCCCGACTTCGAGGTTTCTTCAGATGCCTCTGGGGTTCTTGGTTACGGAGCAGTCTTCCAGGGACACTGGTTTTCAGGCTCTCAGTCTATCGACTACAAGGAAATTTTCCCTATCGTCCTGGCAGCTTACCTCTGGGGTCCCCTATGGGCCTCCAAACGGGTCAACTTCCTATCAGATAACCACTCAGTGGTGGAAATTCTGCGGTCTGCATTTCAAGAGCCCTTACCGTCATGTCCTTGGTTCGCTATCTGTCCCTGTTGGCAGCTCGTCACTCCTTCTCTTTCACTGTGTCCCCAGTAAGAGGGAAGTCTAACCCGATCGCTGACTCCCTATCTCACTTTCAGTTTCGGCGCTTTCGCCCGCTAGCCCCTCATGCAGACCCCATTCAGACCCAGATTCCGCAGCAGCTCCCCTCGGACTTGGAACTTCGCTCTCAGATAAATGCCACCTCTACTTGACTCAGGGTCTTGCCCCTTCTTCCAGGAAAGTTTATGCTTCTCCCTAACGCCGATTCTTGGATTTCTGTGCTGAGGACAATAGCCTATCTCCTTCGGGATCAGCTCTTCCAGCCAGTGAAGACCTGCTCATCCGTTTCTGCTGTCATCTTGCCGATACTATCCACTATTCATCCATAAAGGTTTACCTTTCAGCAATCCGGTCCATTCACATCGAGGAGGGTCTGCCTTCTCTGCTAGTTGGTTGCCTTCGGTTACAGCATGTGTTGCGGGGTATCAAACGTCACCAAGGTTAAAATAGGCGTTAGCGCCAACCCATCACAATCGAGCTGATGCACCTAATCTTTCAGTCCTTGAACTTCTCTGACTAAAATTATACAATGCTCGAGGCTGCCCGCTGTCTCCGGTTTTTTGGTTTCTTACAAGCTGGCGAGTTGACTGTCAACTCCTCCCTTCAATCTCGACATCCACCTTGCTGCCAGCGATGTCCAAGCAGATTCCCTAGTCAATCCAGGCAGCTTCAGGATGAACATTAAGTCCCCTAAGACGGACCCCTTTAGCCAAGGTTGCTATATCTACATTGGTGCTGGAAAATGTGATCTCTGCCTTGTATGCGCCCTACCCAGTATCTACACGTCCGTGGCTCAACTCCTGGCCCACTTTTCTTTCTCTCTGATGGCACCCCTCTATATCACCAATGGCTGACATCCAGTATTCAATCTATTCTCTCCGCTCTTGGGGTCCCTGGTTGCTACACCGGTCATAAAAGCAGCGATTTTGAGAAAACATATCATATCAAGACGGAGAAATGTTATTGATAGTAGCGATCAAGGCCAATTAATCGTTCTTTGACCTTTTTTCTCATTTCGTGCACGTCTATTGAAAACTTTTTTGCCGCCTTATGACTAAGATTCGGTAAATTATTACTGTTATGATTTAGCTATAATTCAAAGCTTTTTACTACGTATCATTTTTTGAATTTTACTTACACATTTTTCAGAGCTTTGCATATATTTTGTCATTGTAGAACCCTATTCAGCTCAGTGTTATTTCTCAAGATTAGTGTAAAAAATGTCTTATATTCGCGTACTGTAAATTTTGAGCCGTCCCAATTACTTTTTGACGAATAACAATCTATTATTTTATCGATGTCTTTTGGACTGTATAATAAAAAGAACATTACGCGGCGGCTTTAAGATATGAATTTTATTTTCTCGTGGCAAAACAACATTTTACTCGCTGCGCTTGTTCGTAAAATATTGCTTTACCACTCGAAAATAAATTCATATCTTCGCGCCACCGTGTAATATCCTCTATGAACGTTGTACTGAAACAAGCAAAAATGTAATACACGATTGTGTTCGTTTTCCATGATTCTTTCATGAGTGTCACCTCCCAAAAGAGAAAAAAAATCCCGTAAAATTCCGGAAATAAGCCCCTCCAAATATACCCCACCCCCCCCCCCATCCAACACCCCAATGGCGACACCCCAAACCCACCCCGACCATTTATTGAACTCCACAACGCCCACCCATCTAACCCAGGATCTTCCCCTCGCACAGAAATCAATAACACTGTATGTAAAATCCCTTATGAACGTTTGACTCAAACAAGAAAAAATGTAAAACACGTGTGTGTTCCTTTTCCATGATTCTTTCCAGAGTGTCAACCCCCAAAAGAGAAAAAAAAACCCCTAAAAATCCGGGAAAAAACCCCCCCCAATATAACCCCCCCCCCCCAGACTCGTAACGCAAAAAACCCTCCGTTAAAACGCCCCTCCAAATATAAGCCCCCCCCAGGGGCTTGTACTTGGAAATTGCCCTCAAATACAAAGTAAAACAACATTTTGCTTACTTTCGGAATTTTACGGTACATAACCATACAACACTGAAAGCCATTCAGCAAATAACACAACACCGTTGACACGTCATTCGTGTCGCACAAGACGCTGACATTTCAGATTGGAAACTAGGCCGGTACCTAAAGATAACCAGGTTCATCTGTGTCTTATGTGTTTGGTTATATTCTTCTAGGCATTGCTCCACAATCTTGTACAGCTCATCAATTGACTCCACTTCTTGGTAAAAGCGATCCTCGCCGACCTGATAAGAGTAAAACAACATTCTTTGTAACTCAATTTGCTGCAGCCTGAAAACCTTTGAGAGTAACCTCATTTATGATCACTCTGTAAATACATACAGTCCACTAATCCAAGAACGTCCCTGTTTAAAAAGGTGTGAGGAGAAAGCCTTCCACATAGGTAGTGGACACTCTAGGGCCTCTTGACCTCTTACACGACTCGTGTGACAGTTACGTAGATTAGTTAGTTAGTTAGAAATGACTAATCTAGAAGCCATAAACTGTCTTTCCAAACAGATCTTGAAAGGCACAGTTTCGTTGTTGTCTCTCGCCAGTGACGCAGTCATCTGAACCGAGTAGCGAGTTTTCTCAGGTAACTAAGTAATTATCTAAAGGCCAAGGCTGCCTCGGCAGTCGGCATTCAAACATGATAACCCTTTCTGCAAAAGGTCGTGTTAACAACAGGCCATCAACTGAATCTAAAAGTGCTAAAAAAGGAAAGGACAGTAGGGCTTACCGCATCAGGATTGAGAAAATCACAGAACATCAAACTTCTCATGTCATCCTCAGATGCCTAAGTAAAACAAGTTTGAGCAAGGAATAATAAGTTAAGTGTGACAACCGTACTCTACAGTCAAATAATATACAGCTCATATAGGAAAAAAAAGGCAAAGAAACGACTGTAATTTGGCGTATAGTTACCGATTTTTGGTTAGAAGACAAGTGCTTAAACAGGGAGTCGAAGTCATCCTTCAAATGTTCTTTAGTGACTTTTTTTAGTAAACTGCAAGAAAGCACATTACAAATAATATTAGGGGCTTTTACATTGGCTTGAGAGTTAAAAATGAGAAAGATTTTTTTCATCTAAATTCGAATGCTTTGGATACTCTTGAAGTCTTTGTCGTTCTGGGATCACAATATACTCTGAAATTCCATAGTCGGACTCAATCACATACTCATAGTCAAATCTTAAGAGCGCTTTTAACAGGCAACACTTAATTGAAGCAGTGCCACCTACCTATGCAACCAGGCCCTGTCATTGTCATCAACAAGACGATCGTAAAATACGCGGTACACCTCATGTACCCACAGCCTAGAAAAGAGTGAAAAAGAAAAAGGCCACAATAAACCCAACGATCTCTGCGACTAACTGCAAGAGGGTGAACGAAATCATATCATCAAAAGCAACATGATTATCCGCGGTGAAGCGATATCACCACGTTTTCTAAGAAAACATACGACTTAGTTCCTTGTTGAAAAGGTAATTTCATTTACAGTAATTTGGACTGCAGGGTGCGTTAGAGGACATAAAAGACACGACGGACACAGTTTTCAGTGAGCTACCTGCTAAGAGTTTTCTTATCACTTAAAGCGTCTTTCTTGATAAGTAAGACGCCCCGGATCACCCGTGAGAAGTCCCTCAAGTTGAATGTGTAGTGCGACTTGGCTGGCGTGGGCAACAAATTCGCCATGGCTTCCTTGTACACCTAAATGCAGAATATTATCATTTGGTGACTAATGCTTAAGTAGTAAATGTGCTTAAATGAAAATGAACTAAGTTGCCAACACAGAGCGGCTACTATGTTTTATGAAGGTCGGCAGTTGCAGCATTTGGCACCCGCTCTAAGCACTTGTAGGACCTGTTTCGGAGTGTTTTATTTCTGCCTCTTTCCTCTCAACCCCTTTTTTCCCCATGGTTAACAGACATGAGAGCAGGGGCTCGGCTGGTGACACACTCACACACACACACATTTTTAACAACTGATCATGACATACAAGAAGTCCGTTTCCGCCCGCAAAGAGGCAGGCGGAAATTCAGTGGTACAGCAGTCATTAATAAATTAGAATGGTTAATTAATAATAAACAAGTGAATAAAACTTACACGTGATTACCTTACATTCACAAAATCAACCTAATGTAACAAATGTAACAGTTACAAGTATATATAACTGCAAACTGAATTAAACTATTCAAACTGTGAAGATTGCTATTTTCTGAAGCAGAGCTGGTCACAGAGAAGAGCCTCAACCATACCGGGCACCCATCTTTCATACAAAGTGATACAGCTAATTAAAAAAATTGTGATAAATTAAATAACCGTTGAACTGAAGGTGACTGTTTTGAGGTCTAACTATTCATTACAAGATACATTTTTGCGCTCTTACCTCCATTGTTGCCCCTACAATCATGGTGCCCATGGTGTAAACATCATTAGGAAATTCATTGTTCTGTAGGAAAAAAAACCTACTTAAGTACTCGTAAGCTTTCAAGATTGCGCTACAGCCTTTGTTTAAGACTGATGAACACCTATAGACCTGGAAAATTCAGGCGTCTCTTGTTGAGCAATGAATAGCAGACACTACACCACTTACTCTAAAGTAGAAGCTGACAATTGAAGAGAATATCCTCTGCATAGTATCGTCACCAAACGTAGCCACCGATATCACGTTGAAGTGTCTTAAAAACCGAGGAGTGATGGGGTTTCTGCCACCCCCTGGGGGACCCATAGCGCAAACGAACTGAAGATCGATCAATGTAACTTTCGATGTATCTTTACGGTCGTACCAGTTCCCGTGGTCCAAATACTGACGGAGCAGTTCGATTGGCGGCTGGGCACCATACTTTTCCAAGGCAGGCATATTTACATCATCAACGAAGATAATAAACCTAGTGAATCATTATATAGACAACGGTTTGTACGCTAAGGGTGAAAATAAAAGAGAGGAAAAAAATACAATAAAACGGCAGCAGCAACAACAACAACA